TAAATGTGCTGGAATACTGCCACGAGTTTGCATCGTTTGTAAAAAGGAAGAAATCTTCTACACTGACAAGGTTAGCTCCTTTAGCTGCTTTCGTATTGTTTTGAAAAACAACAAAGTCCAAGCTTCTTCATTTATTCGAGTCGGAGTTTCCAGATTGCGTGGTAGACGTACTGTAGATGCAGTTCCAGCTGACGGTAGTGTTTTACTCGATGCTATGGCAGTTTTACAGTCAACTGTTGTTATTCCGAAGACATACGGAGAGCTTGCTGATAATATCCTTGCAAGAATACTTGCTATCGCACGCAAGTTCAAAGCATCCCGTGTTGACTTCGTAGCCGACCGTTACCGCAGCTCAGTATAAAGAATGCAGAACCAGAAAAACGAGCATCACACGGCACAAGTATCGTACGTATTTACGGACGCGAGCAGAAAGTGTTTAAACCATGGAAGAACTTTATTGAAATTCAAGTGGCGGAAATAAAAAGAGTCTCTTAAGACCGGCGCACACTAGAGCTATGTGCTTAGCAAAATGTCATTCGTGACTGTTGGCGTAAGGAGATAGCTTTCGTGTGCGGGCGATTTACGAACGACTTTTGTCATTCGTGCCACTTACGCCAAATATCTAACATGTTTGATAATTTCTGCCTCGCGTGCCAAAATCTTTCCATGTGCGGCGAACGAAAGCTATCTGCTTACGGATTGTCGTAACAGCGCATGCGTAGTATACGAAAGTAAGCATCGAAGATGGCGGCGCAAAATGAATTACTGGCCGAGGCAATTTTAGAGGCTGTTACGACAATCCGTAAGCAGATAGCTTTCGTTCGCCGCACACGGAAAGATTTTGGCACGCGAGGCAGAAATTATCAAACATGTTAGATATTTGGCGTAAGTGGCACGAATGACAAAAGTCGTTCGTAAATCGCCCGCACACGAGAGCTATCTACTTACGCCAACAGTCACGAATGACATTTTGCTAAGCACATAGCTCTAGTGTGCGCCGGCCTTTAGAAAGAAGATGCCTGTGAAACCTGGTGTTGCTTCAAAAGGTGGGAAGAAAGCTGGCAAGAAAGCCGGAGTTGGTGGCGACAAGAAGAGACGATCGAAACGTAAAGAAAGCTATGCTATCTATATTTACAAAGTTCTGAAGCAAGTCCACCCCGATACTGGTATCTCCAGCAAGGCTATGGGCATCATGAACTCGTTCGTGAACGATATTTTTGAGCGAATTGCCGGTGAAGCTTCTCGTTTGGCCCACTACAACAAGAAATCGACCATCTCATCGCGAGAAATTCAGACTTCGGTTCGTCTGCTCTTGCCCGGAGAGTTGGCCAAGCACGCTGTCAGCAAAGGAACGAAAGCCGTGACCAAGTACACAAGCAGCAAGTAAAAAGGTTTTCCTGTAAACCTTCAAAACAAAAACCGGTGTCGGGAAAAAGGTTGACATTAATAATTAGTAGTTAAATTTAGAGATGAGGTGACTGCCATATATGGAATTGATTGACAGGCATGAGATAAAAGGAATGTTGTTAATTGTTATTGCATGGGGAATATATGTAACTGGGAGCGATTTGG